CTACTTACACAATTGTCTGGGGGCAGATATATAGACAAACCTGAACCAATCCCAAAGACACCAACTTGCAGCCAGAGCTTTAAAGCATACCACTAGGTCCTTATTGAGAGAGGGCTTTGGCCTGTCTCCAGGTGGCACTCCCCCAATCCAAATGCTAGAAGCATATAAAAGTTGTGCAACAGACTTAGCATTAAACACTTTCAAGGCAGATAGAACATATAGGCCCCCCTTAGTAAAAAAGAAACATGTTATTGCAGCTGAGCTGCCTGATGCTTTTTGAATAGCAGTCTATCTGTGAGTATTCCATGACAAGGAGTGATGTAATGATATGCCTGGACATAGAGATTTCATCAGTAGGCTGTCCCTGTGGGCCACATCTAACTTGTAGCTTTCTGTCACTATATAATGCCCTGATGAGATAGAAGAGTCTTTTGTCATCCAAGATCTTGTCTAGCTTTTCCCAAAGCTTGATTCTGGGGACAGAGTCAAATGTGGATTTCAGATCCATAAAAGCAGCATATAGTGTGCTGCAGAAAAAAATTGAGATGTTTCTCCTCTAAATGAAAAAAGATCAAGCAGTGATCAACTGTGGAATAGTTCCTTCTGAAAGCTGCCTCCAAAAAGTTGGTAAGCCTTTGGGATAAATATCTAGCATAGAGCTTGCCCATTATCGATAGTAACCTAATGGGCCTGAAATTCTCCAGATCACTGAGCTGTCCCTTCTTATATATTGACACCACAATAGCATGTTTCTAACTGATGGGAATTTTGCCAGATTGGTTTATGGCGGTGAAAAGAGTCCATAAGAAGCAAAGACATTTACCACAATAGTGTACATGGCCCATGTTTCCTGCAATAAAATCAGGGAAGTTTTTGTTGTTAACAGTTTCTCTTCCTTAGGCTTGAGTTTCAATTTGAGAGAAACCTCTTTGGGCAATTCCATCTCCACATCAACACTGATGTCCCATTTCAGGTTACCCTCTTTTCCCAGTTCAGACACTGATTTGGCTTCTTCCTGTTGGTATTACCAAAATAAACAACACCATCACTCCCATCCATGGCCTGTCCATAGCTGATAATACCATGGCTATTATAGATATATTATACAAACCCCCTTCTTGGGAATCCTGGTATTCTGAGATCAGTTCTTCCACTGGCGACTGTTCTGGGTTCTATACTTGCCACTCCAGAAGTGAGGTTTCCTCATCACAACACTTGAGACATAAGAGTTGCCATTTAGACCACACACACTATGCTGTTCTGGCCTCTATTCAAGAAGGTTAAGCATCTGTTGATTGGAATCCTTCTAAAAGTACTGTGTCTAATGACTAGGCCATGTTTCAGCCAACTCAAACCCAAGATACTATGTTCTATACAACGGAAAAATTGACTCCTTCTACTTCCACTGTTGCAATTGCTAGCCAGACCATCCATCTTTCATTGATGTCTGGGACCTCCAGATCTCGATCTGATTCTAATTTTGTGGTCATACTGACTAGAAAGTCTACTCCAATTGAGTTAGGCATCATGGACACTTCATTCCAGCTGATGAAGTCATTCAGAAGTCTTGGTTGACACTGTCATCCATTCCTTCTACTTCTAGTAAAAGACTCTCAACTGGGTAGATGATTTAGCCATTCCTTCTCTAAGGCAGCATCTGAAACCTAATTCCATCATTGTGAATGCTGTCCATTCAAGAGCTTAACTCTGTGTGCATTCTACACCTGTGGACAAGGAGGGCAAGAAACTCAAAGTTCTACTTTTTGGCTGCTCTCATGTCCAAGATCTCAACTACTTGGTTTGCATGGGGGCTTACAGCCAACTC